GACATTTTAGTGTACATCCAACCAGGCAAATGGAAATTCGCTTAGTCTGCAGGTATTCTGAAGCGGGGGTATTATAAAAATTGATTTTTGCCTAAACGTAAATATTTATACATATCGATTGTATAACGTTCACTAATTACTTCCAACTTAGTAATCAAATCAAATTTCTTTCGGGTTATAATCAATTTATATTGCGTATAAAATATTATACATCCAGTTGGAGAATCTACACACAGACGCCTTTTCGATGTATAATAGGCCATTTAGATTACTACACGTGATTATGAATGATAAAATTAATTGCTTTATATCTAACCCCTATTTAACCAACACTACGGATGAATCAGATACAATTTAGGACATTGTCTCTACAAAAACCATAACAAGTGTTTCCGTAGAACATAATCCGCAATAACTCAATAATAATTGGAGTATTATTATCATTCGTATTATAATAGGCCATTTAGATTACTACACGTGATTATGAATGATAAAATTAATTGCTTTATATCTAACCCCTATTAAACCAACACTACGGATGAATTAGATACAATTTAGGACATTGTCTCTAAAAAAAACCGTAACAAGTGTTTCCGTAGAACATAATCCGCAATAACTCTACATTTTAATTAAACTTGAGTTCCTACGTAACGTCGAATACATATGAATTATCTTTGCAGTTGTACCGGTAGTTAAAATGATTGTCAAACCTATGTTTGATATTATATTAAGTATTATTATAACTATATACCTACATACATACATACATATACAATGCTGGCCAGGTCGGTAAGTAAAACTCGCGGTATTCTATGTACAGGGATGATGTGTGTGTAGAGCGGCGGCGAGCGGGCCTTTGATGTGCCGTCAGACGTTGCGTGGCGCCTCCATGTACTGAAGTTATTTCCTTACATTTTAATACAATTTCTGCGTAGCGTAGGTTTGGATTAAAACGCGTTAAATGCAATGGACTCAACACTGAAACAGCTACTTAAACAGGCTTACAATGAAAACATTAAACCACATTTTCTAAATGACACACCACAAACGAATATCACTAAAATTTTACTTGGGTATTTCTACAAGGTCCTTGTATTACATCTCGTAGCACTCGCACATAAACCACATCACGAGAACACTTCGCATACAACAATTCAACAAGCAAGATATCTATGAGCAATAAAAACGAGTACACACTACAGTAGTCAGTCACAACCAACCCTATGGATATGCTGGCGTACTAGCTGTGGTGCAGATTTGCAGACTGGCGCCTACTAGAGGGAGTGTCAGTCAGCTGGAGCGTCCATGCACACTCTGCTTGTGCACACCACGATATAAGTTGAAACACACGAATTAGACGTACAAATGACTTGATATATTTTAATTTGAAAATTAAATGAACAAATTATACATATTTACTGAAAATTTAACTATTTAAAAAAACTTAATAAATCAATAATATATAAATAGTTGCATAAAAAATAACCATTTACAACAATAAACGTTTACAATACATTTTGATATACCTTCGTTCTAAGTTTCATGTATATTGTTTAATTCTTAGTACCTTTTTGTAGGCGATTGACCTGGGTCAACATAATAAAATGAACTATTTTGGGTTGTTTTTAGTTAATATAATAGATAAATATTTTTTTATCGTTACCAAATTTTACATACGAGTAGAATACATGTGGATATACCTTCGTTCCAAGTTGCATGTATATAGTTTAATTCTAAGTACCTTTTTTAGGCGATTGACCCGGGTCAACAAAATAAAATTAGCAGTTTTGGGCGGTTTTTAGTTAATAAAATAGGTAAATAAATTTTTATCGTTACCAAATGTCACATACGTGTAGAATACATGTAGATATACCTTCTTTCCAAGTTTCATGTATATAGTCTAATTCTAAGTACCTTTTATTGGTGATTGACCCGGGTCAACAAAATAAAATTAGCTTTTTGCGGCAGTTTTTTGTTAATAAAGTAGGTAAATATTTTTTAATCGTTACCAAATTTAACATACGTGTAGAATACATGTGGATATACCTTCGTTCCAAGTTTCATGTATATAGTCTAATGCTAAGTACCTTTTATTGGCGATTGACCCGGGTCAACAAAATAAAATTAGCAGTTTTGGGCGGTTTTTAGTTAATAAAATAGGTAAATAAATTTTTATCGTTACCAAATGTCACATACGTGTAGAATACATGCGGACATACCTTCGTTCCAAGTTTCATGTATATAGTTTAATTCTAAGTACCTTTTATTGGCGATTGACCCGGGTCAACAAAATAAAATGAGCTATTTTGGGCGGTTTTTAGTTAATAAAATAGGTAAATAAATTTTTATCGTTACCAAATGTCACATACGTGTAGAATACATGTAGATATACCTTCTTTCCAAGTTTCATGTATATAGTCTAATTCTAAGTACCTTTTATTGGCGATTGACCCGGGTCAACAAAATAAAATTAGCAGTTTTGGGCGGTTTTTGGTTAATAAAATAGGTAAATAAATTGTTATCGTTACCAAATGTCACATACGTGTAGAATACATGCGGACATACCTTCGTTCCAAGTTTCATGTATATAGTTTAATTCTAAGTACCTTTTATTGGCGATTGACCCGGGTCAACAAAATAAAATGAGCTATTTTGGGCGGTTTTTAGTTAATAAAATAGGTAACTATTTTTTAATTGTTACCAAATTTTACATACGTGTAGAATACATGTGGACATACCTTCGTTCCAAGTTTCATGTATATTGTTTAATTCTAAGTACCTTTTTTAGGCGATTGACCCGGGTCAACAAAATAAAATGAGCTATTTTGGGCGGTTTTTAGTTAATAAAATAGGTAACTATTTTTTAATTGTTACCAAATTTTACATACGTGTAGAATACATGTGGACATACCTTCGTTCCAAGTTTCATGTACATAGTTTAATTCTAAGTACCTTTTTTAGGCGATTGACCCGGGTCAACAAAATAAAATGAGCTATTTTGGGCGGTTTTTAGTTAATAAAATAGGTAAATGAATTTTTATCGTTACCAAATGTCACATACGTGTAGAATACATGTAGATATACCTTCTTTCCAAGTTTCATGTATATAGTTAAATTCTAAGTACCTTTTATTGGTGATTGACCCGGGTCAACAAAATAAAATTAACTTTTTGCGGCAGTTTTTTGTTAATAAAGTAGGTAAATATTTTTTAATCGTTACCAAATTTAACATACGTGTAGAATACATGTGGATATACCTTCGTTCCAAGTTTCATGTATATAGTCTAATGCTAAGTACCTTTTATTGGCGATTGACCCGGGTCAACAAAATAAAATTAGCAGTTTTTTGCGGTTTTTAGTTAATAAAATAGGTAAATAAATTTTTATCGTTACCAAATGTCACATACGTGTAGAATACATGCGGACATACCTTCGTTCCAAGTTTCATGTATATAGTTTAATTCTAAGTACCTTTTATTGGCGATTGACCCGGGTCAACAAAATAAAATGAGCTATTTTGGGCGGTTTTTAGTTAATAAAATAGGTAACTATTTTTTAATTGTTACCAAATTTTACATACGTGTAGAATACATGTGGACATACCTTCGTTCCAAGTTTCATGTATATAGTTTAATTCTAAGTACCTTTTTTAGGCGATTGACCCGGGTCAACAAAATAAAATTAGCTATTTTGGGCGGTTTTTAGTTAATAAAATAGGTAAATGAATTTTTATCGTTACCAAATGTCACATACGTGTAGAATACATGTAGATATATCTTCTTTCCAAGTTTCATGTATATAGTCTAATTCTAAGTACCTTTTATTGGCGATTGACCCTGGTCAACAAAATAAAATGAGCTATTTTGGGCGGTTTTTAGTTAATAAAATAGGTAAATGAATTTTTATCGTTACCAAATGTCACATACGTGTAGAATACATGTAGATATATCTTCTTTCCAAGTTTCATGTATATAGTCTAATTCTAAGTACCTTTTATTGGCGATTGACCCGGGTCAACAAAATAAAATTAGCAGTTTTGGGCGGTTTTTGGTTAATAAAATAGGTAAATAAATTTTTATCGTTACCAAATGTCACATACGTGTAGAATACATGTAGATATACCTTCTTTCCAAGTTTCATGTATATAGTTAAATTCTAAGTACCTTTTATTGGTGATTGACCGGGGTCAACAAAATAAAATTAGCTTTTTGCGGCGGTTTTTTGTTAATAAAGTAGGTAAATATTTTTTAATCGTTACCAAATTTAACATACGTGTAGAATACATGTGGATATACCTTCGTTCCAAGTTTCAAGTACATATCTACATTCCAAGTGTTTTTTTTTTTAAAATATATTGAATTTTTTTGACCCGGGTCAACAAAATAGTCAGTCCCATGGTTCACAGCGTTACCACATAGGATAGCATGCAATTTCTGGAAACTCACGATTGTGTGCAAGGAGGGTTGGATAACCAAATATCTGATAGTCACAACTAGCCTACTTTATATTTTCCAAGCTTTGTGGATTTTTTTGTGTGGATAAATGACCTAAATAGCCTACAGTAGAACCCGATTAACCGAATTCGGTTTAACTGAAACCCTGGTTAACCGAAACGGTTCCATAAAATAATACAGGGCTCATATATAAGTTAATACGTAATGCAAAATACCTTAGTAACTTCAGTTATTTAGTGAAAAGTAATTTTTACTAACCCATTGTAACATTTCTGTAGCTGAAATAAAATACTGTATTATATAGGTAGACATTGTTTTAAATTCATTTTTCTAACACACCGTGGTACTATTTTAGGATATGACGGGTTAACCGAAAAATTGGTTATCCGAAACAGCTCTCCCCCCTTTATTTCGATTAACTGGGGTTCTACTGTAGTGAAACTTTTAACTCAGGGAGTTAATCTAAAAATTAAACCTTGATCCTTCGGTGATAAAAAAAAATTCCAATTTATATGTTACTAACTAATAGGGGTAATTGTTTTACAGATACAAAATGGCAGCGGCAGCACCACAAACTGAACAAAGAGACAGGAAACGAAAAGAAAGCATTCTTGATCTTTCCAAGTATTTGGAGAAAGTCATCCGTGTAAAGTTTTCTGGCGGACGGGAAGTAGCAGGAGTGCTAAAAGGTTTTGACCCCTTACTGAATCTTGTCCTGGATAACACCACAGAGTTCCTCAGAGATCCTGATGACCCCTACAAACTCACCAGGGACACAAGGTTGTTAGGGCTTGTAGTCTGCCGAGGAACATCAGTTGTGCTCATTTGTCCTGTGGATGGAATGGAAAGTATTCCAAATCCTTTTGTCCAACCGGATTAAAATATGAACTTTATATTTTCTTTTATAAGTTTTTCACATATATCTCAGTTCAGAGAGAATTCCTCCTTTGTTGTATATAATTTAATTATGTATTTATTACAATAAAGAGTTTGGTTAACTGTGTGTTTTTATTTTAAGAAAAATAACTGTGTAAATGAGTTGCTGTTGGAAATCTTGAAACAAGCAAATCCCAAAATACTGTTTGCATTAAACTTGCAATTTAATTTTATTGTTGAAGTACTTGATAGTAGAACCTTGATAACAAGATTCTCATAGGTAGCCTATTATAAAATAAGACTTGTTATCAAGGTTCACTTCTTATCGATGTTTGCAATAACATGATTTTGGATTAGGGGTAAAATAATTTCAAGGGGATTTAAAAATGACCGTTGCTATCAAGGGTGACTTGTTATCGAGTGTATTAAAATTTAAGATGAGTAAGTTTTTTTCAGAAAATAAATGCCCTGGTTTCTGGCAATTTCTACTATTGAGACTGCATGCATACAGATAGTACAGTGGTTCAAGGGTCTGTTCTAACATACAGACTGACTAGAGCTCCTAATGAGCAGGGACACAAAATGGGGGAGGAGCTTACAGCAGCGATGTGCCGTGTGGGGGATAAGCTTGTCTATTCACGTGTTTGTCACAGAAATAGACAACACCATTGGTTGAATGATGAACATCATTCAGGTTGAATGAAAGGACATAGGTTGAATGATTCAGTAGCATATACTTACGCTCATAAGTTTCAACTTCTGAAAGTTTTTTTAAGTTTTTATTATTTATAGTGTTAGTTTGGGCTTTTTTCACCTGTACAGTAATTTATAAGTATCCTGTTTATTTCTTTATTAAAGTAAAATATTAAACCTTTATTGTTCCTATACTAAGCTATGCACACAACTTACGTCAAGCAGCTCAATAAAATAACCACTCCCACCACAGCAAACCTGCTGACAGCAAATTTGTATTTGCCTGTTTTGATTTCGACAAAAATCTATTTAAACAACATTGTGTTTAACACCTATGTTAACTGCTATAGGGAGGGTAATAAAGTGTCTTTTATTTAGTAAAATATTTATATTATTCTCCATAAGACAATAAACAAGAATGCTTTGCTTATGCTTTGAACCTTCAAAAACCCTTCAAGGCTTTAAAATGGTAACATTTTCTTAGTTATTTGCTATAACTAGGTATCACTACAACTCAAAGTCCCAAAAGATGTACTTTATAAGGAATTGATAGTTGGTTTAAGTAAATCTAACTTATACACAATTAGTTTTTATATTACTGTATATGTATTTGAATATCGCACTGTTTTATGTAAGCTACAGTTGAGTGTAACAACCTTATTTGTTTACTCAACAGCTTACATAAAACTTAGTGCGTGTCTTGAGTTTGGTCACCCTTTTGTGACTGGTTAGGATTAGAAAGCTATGACAAACATATGAATACTTTACTAGACAAGCTCCTCCCCCATTTTCTGTCCCTGCTCATTAGGAGCTCTGGTCAGTCTGTATGTTAGAACAAACCCTTGAACCACTGGTCAATTTGTATGTGGCCGTTGAGACTAATTATAATTGTATGAAGCAGTTGTTATTTATATTTTAGGTCAAGGATTGTGATTATACCAAGATTCTCACAACACCAAATTAACTTTCCAACATGGTTATTGGTTTTGGGTCTTTTATTTTGAAGTTATAAATTTCATTACATCAATAAACTTTTGATGCTTAGCTAGTTCAACTTAGTTCCATTTAGACCCTTTAAAAAGTTGTTTGTGAAAGTAGGTCTTTTGCTTGTATATAAGTTCTCCCTATCTTTCTTTCTTTGGCTCCTTTCTAAGCGTCTTTGCATTCTCCTTATATCGCCACTGAGATCTTCTACTTCATATGTATAATTACCAGCTTCAGACACATACGTAATATTTCTTCTTTCAACTTTTTTGAATCCATATTTAAGTCTTTTCTTCTTTTTCACACCTTTTCGTTTTTCTTTCGGTGGTCTAAAAAATAAATTTTAAACTTTCTTATAACAAAAATAAATATATTATTTAGATCAGATAAGTGGACATCATCCTACGACTAAATTAGTTTGAAATAATAGTTATGTGTTATAGACAAATGTTAATAACCTCAAAATAAACCATTAATGAACAGCTCTTGATAACACATTGCTTTGTTGTCATTTTGGCAAGTGGGTAAGCAACCGCTGTTATAGATAAAAATATCATTATTCAGTGTGCAAAATCATATTGACAAGGATCATATTTTTTCTTCTATCTCTATCCAAACCATTTCTTAATTCGTATAATCTCTCCTGCCCTAGGGAATATTTAGTCAGATTCCTTAACTATACTCTTCCATGTTCACTGTGAAATACTGAGTGTTCATATGCAATTCAAACAATAGTCACAGCAATACTAGAGATCCTTAACACATTATGACCAACAAAACACTCCTATTAATTTTTTGACCTTTTTCCATTGCTTTTTTACTGTAATACTAAAAACTGTCAAAATATCTTTTGTCAGTTGAATACATCTTAATAAAAAAGCACGAAATTACAATTTATAAAATTAATTTTTATAAAGGTCAAGAAGGCAGTTTACACAACTCACATGATATTTTCAGTAGCCTGACTATCATCCTTAAGACCTGTGCTGCACGGTGAATGTGGAATAGATTTGGGTGGCTCATTACTTGTCACGTAAAACATTTGCATGCTTTTAGCTTCCTAATAAATCATCAGCATTCTACCATAATTAATAAGAAATAATAATTTACTTCTCTCCCGAAATTCTTATTTAAATTGGGTGTTTAAGCTCAAGAAGGAGGTCATAAAATAAAAACAATGAAGGAAAAAAGTATTAAGAAACATAATTTGAAGATTAGATTAACTCTCAAAACTAACCTTTCTCGAAACTCGAGTCCATGATCTCCTCTTGATTGGTAGTTTGATATAAAAGGCAGTTTCAGATAGCTGTCATCTAACAAGTAGTATTTTACATACATCATAGCTGGCCGTAAAATGGTTTGATTTTTTTTAGTATCGTTGTAAGTTATCATCTCAATACGTGGAATTACTTCATTAGGCATAAACTCATATCTGTCTAATTTCTTTATCATTTTTAAGCTTAATTCATAAAGTTCTCCTTGGATATTCTGTGAATGCAAAAATTTTAATTCAAAATAAGAGGATATATTTTAAATAATTTAAATTAGCATTACAGTAGACGACTGCCAAATACTGGTGGTTTACTACTCTCTTGTTCGGATGTTTGGTTTGAACGGACACCCGTGTTACCACAAAACACAAATAGGTTTCATAGACTTACAGGGGTGTAACTTAACACTCTCATACAAAAGTGCCAATTTGTCAATAGAACTACAAGTCAAGCCCACTGTAATTATAAATAAGTCTTATCTTGTGCACATAATGCATGGTTTTGATATATATTAATTCATTTTGTACTAACTTCCAATGTTTAGGACATGTCATTCTGGGATTTCTAAATGAAAGTGAGTCTCCTGTATTTTATTACAAAAATGTTCCGAATGTCTATGTCTAAGTAATGCCATTTTGTGTATGTGAAAAATTTGACCAACTTAATAGACTTACAATATTGCAAAGATATTACCATAAAAACGAGTTGTACTCTTCTAAAATGTAAAACAGGTACCAATGCAACATTTACCATTCTAAAGAAATGTTGAAATACAAACTTAAAATCCTATTTATTTTTACGATGGACTCAAATTAATTCTCCATTAAAAATTATGAATCCATGGAAATCACAAAAATGATTTGCTTAGTTTCAATAGTTTACATTATGGAGTTATTATAATTACAGATAAGAATTTATTATAGTTTATTATAGGAGTTATTATAATTAGAAATTGATATGATTGCTCGGGTGAAGTGGATGTGTTAAACCACAGAGATGTCAGATACAGAGGATACAAGCTTATGAGACAACCGTCTGCTTTTAGCTCTGGTATGTTGGGGCCGAAATGTACTAGAATCGAGCAAGGAAGAGCCCGAAAAGCGATGGCCATATTCGTACAGCAGTTATAGCGCACAGTGTGATCACTCTAGTACGAGATGGCGAGGGGGAAAGGAGAGCGGAAGAGGAGGACAAATAAAATTTGCTCTAGACACCAGCAACTGATGCTAAACACCACTTAAGTGTATCATTAAATGTATCATCTGTATCTTACTTCTCTGTGGATACACTTATTAGTTTTTTTAATTGGTAACAGAAAATGGTTTATACAGTGAGTCATATGTATCACAAACTAATTAAAAAATAAAATAAGATCTGAAACCAATTTTAGCGAAATTCCCCTATAGGGAATAAGCTATTACCGTAGTACTCATGGTAAGACCTGGACCCGGGACCGATTTACTTTTTCGTTTTGAGGTCCCTATAGACCAAAAACACCATCCGTTCAAATTCATATATATATATTTATATATGTGTCCGTTAGCGCGATAACTCAAGCAAAAATCATCCGATTTTGATGAAATTTTGGTACAAACGTGTAAACCTACGTTTATTCGAACGAGTTCGCAAACCGGCATGATCAGACTATGGGAACAGGGGTTTATGGTGGGTTTTATGGGGCAAAAATTGGTTTTTCCCATTTTTGACCCTAAAACTTAAAATTTAGCAATTTCTTTCCAAACCATTTTGTAGAGCTTAAAAAAACAAATAATTTAGTATATTGAAGCGTTATTATGCGCCAAATGGTTACGGAGAAAATTCAAAAAAACTGTAAATTTAAAATTCCCATGTTGTTCTTATGGAGAATAAGTAAACTGTTGTAGTTTGCTTGTTTATGATCATATTTTGATCAAATTTGGAAAATGCATTCATTACATACTAAACTATTAACATAAAAAAAAACACCTTTTTACCCTCCCTGTTGCAGCAAACCTAAGTACTATTTAAACTAATGTTATTTAAATAGGGAATAAATGTGATATTTTTAAAGAGACATTTTAGTGTAAATCCAATCAGGCAAATGGAAATTCGCTTAGTCTGCAGGTTTGCCGCGGCGGGGGTATTTTTAGATGTGATTAAAAACCAATTTTATACTTACATGGCCTGACTCTGGT